GAGATGCCATAGTTATAACTTCAGTTAGACATTTCTCCAAGCTCTATTTCTTCTGTCTTTTACTAACCACCCTGTTTTCACTGTTGTTATATGCTCTAGACCCCACTTCTCATCTTGGTTCTTTGAGCAATGTGCTTTCTTGACTATGTGTATTACAGGAAGAAGATGGAGAGCAGGCATAGGTCTAATGTGCAGCAAAATGTTTCCTTACATCCACCTGCAGCAGACGAGGCACAGAGAGGTCTGTAGCAGGACATTCATTCAAAGGAATGAATGAGAACACCCCATAGCCATAAATACGGCCAGAAGCAACAGCTCCGAGATCTGTGGACTTTGGCATTCATCTGAGTGGGTCTTCTTATCTTCAGTCTCTGCTCATGGGGTTATCTGCTGAATCTATGTAGCTTCTAGGATTTGTACTCCTTTCCTAGCTCTATGTGATTGGAATCTTGTTATGCTCAGACCTCAGCTACAGGCCAGATGCTTTATAGTGAACTGGTCTTGTGCTGCAGCACTGTGTTTAGTGTTTATCTGTTTTGTGGCACCAGCTATGCCCATTTTTCTCTCCCACATTCAGTCCACTACGAGTTTCTCTTCCTGTGCTATTCACTGGCTCATTCTCAGGGCCCTGTCTGGATATCAGGAGTGAAGAAACTGTATTTTATAAGGCAAAAAAAAATCAGAACAATGAAATTGGATATTTGGAAAGCAAAATACAGACCATCGTGTCCACTTCTGCAATGCTTTGTCCTTTTCATTTTCTCTTCATACTTGTCTTCAGTGTTCAGTCATGTTCCTTCCCTTTAGAAGCACCAGTAGCTACCGGCAGCATCAAGCTGCGCCAGGGCAGGTTTAGGTTGGATATTAGGAAAAATTTCTTCACTGAAAGGGTAGTCAGGCACTGGAACAGGCTGCCCAGGGAAGTGGTTGAGTCCCCATCCCTGGAGGTATTTAAAAGATGTGTAGGTGTGGTGCTTAGGGACATGGTTTAGTGGTGGACTCGGCAGCACTAGGTTAACGGTTGGTCTTGATGATCTTAAAGGTCTCTTCCAACCTAGACGATTCTATGATTCTATGTTGATGTCTGGAAATAGATGAATAGTTTTTCCTGAGCCTCCTTTTCGGCAAGGCTACACAGGGCTCCAATGCATGAAACTGTCCTCGTACACTGAGCATCTGTGTTTCAATCTTTGCCCCAACATCTTCAAAAACCATGTGTATCTCTGGGAGTAGCCTGGAAAATACAGACAGTAAGAGTGAACTTGGAGTCCTTTTCCTGCTGTCATACCAGACTGTGTATGAAGGAATTGATTTCAGAAGAACTCTAGTCCTGTTCTGCGTGCATCTGTCACTCTCCTTGATTCAGTCAAAATCAAGCATAGTCTGGCAATTAGCACTTTAATAATTTCTTTCAAAATTGCTTTCCTGGAAATTTAGCAAGTTCAATAAGCTATAAGATAAGTTGGAGTACCTGAAATCAGTTTATCAAATCATAGTTGAATCCATAAATAAGAGTCAAACTGCTTATTATAAGCAGGTGATTAATAAATACAAATCTGGGTACCTGTTGGTTCATTGATCCCAAATTTGAACCATTAATCCTCCCGCTTATCTCTGAAGATACAATAATTACATGTGGATTTGGGTCAGAATTTCTGCCTTTTTGACAGAAAATCAACTGTTGACTTTGGCTAGAGCAGAGTTGCCACTTGCTGCAATCAGTATGTTTGGAATTACGAGTGATATCCACTTTACATAATGCAAACGTTACATTTGCCATAACAAATGTAGGAAAAAAAATTGTTAGCGATTATATTTAACTTTACCAAAGTTCTGTGTATCATAGTATTCTCAGTGAAGCAATGATTCAGGCAAGCGCAGAGGAACATCTGGAATGCGTCTGGTGCTGGAGTTTTCTACTGTGACTTCATCATGTTGCTTCTGTAGGAATGCAGCAGAATAATAACTGAGACAAGTTTTTTGAATAAGCTATTAAAATCCCAGATGTGAACATATGCTTTGCATTTTTATGGATCAAAATAATGCTGTTGTGGGTATAAAATTTCATTTTACCACTCTGTCTTTTCCTAAAATCTCCCTTCAAGTTATTGTAAATGTTTTTGTGGGTGGAAGAAGAACCTAAATTCTAGGTTGCTGTCCCACATTTGGATGCAGTATTCACTTTGTGAAGGGGGATTTAGAATCTTCAGCCTATAGTAGTAAAAAATTATTTCCTAAGATGCTAATGACAGTTCTTGGAAAGGCAAGGTCTTAATATTTCCTCATATTTACCTTATGGCTGCACTATGTAAAAGTCTATCTTTTATTGCTGGATACTAGATGCTAGGGACTAGAAGGTTTGGGTACAAAGGTACCCTAAGGCCATCTTGAAAAAAGTAATAAAAACTAACAGTAAGCACTGCAGTGAGAAATCATATGCAGATATGCAGTGGAATAAAGGTGTCTTTTTGGTGTTAAGTTAAAGCATTAGTCTTAGCATCAAATGAGTGATTATCTAGCCAATTTGCTGGATTTGCTGGTTGTATGACAAGACAGATCTAGCTTTTGTTCTGTGTTTGCTTTTGGCTTGAAAATCACCTTGAATGGTCCTACTCTTAGAGGAAGGCATTCAGGGCTTGAAAGATATGGCCCGTGTGTCAGAGTCAGTGTGACGAAGAATTATACAGGCAGGCAATTCTATCGGCAAGTTGGATTAGGAACTCGGGCAGAACTCAGAAGGGAGAATCTGATTCTGTGACGAATTCCTGTTTTGAGAGCAAAATGATTGTTAACATATGAGCATAAGTATCAATACAATAAAAGCATATACTAATTAGGAAAAAAATGCTTCTAGGAATTATTTTATGCAGTGATAAAACCACTGAACAACATTTGAGTTTTGTGTCATTCAGGCATATTCAGAAAGATTGCACACATCATTTCTGTGTGTTCAGCAAAATTTATGTTAATTGGTAGTTCCTACAATAAATTTCTAAGGTCATAGTAACTCTTGAGAAATTCTATGTAACATTTAAATTAGTTTTAAAAAGGGGTGGAATCCTTGAATTATTTTCTTCTGTGTATCAGAGATTCTTAAATTGGTTTATGTGCCAGAGACTTTAGTTACCAAAACCCTTTTAGGCTTTAAGGTAATTCGAAGCTGTTTTGTGTCACAGAGAGCAGAGAGGCAAAGCCTAAGTTTCAGAAATAACAAGCAGTTGAGTTGATATAATCTGTTCTGATGATTTTAGTGACTGATCCATGTATGTACTGCAGGGAAAGATGGAATAAGCCGCTTCCTGTCAATACGACTAGGAGAATCCCCCCTGACAACAAACCTAATGATCAGTCTAATCCTGAGTCTGCAAACAGTCATCTAAAATAAAGAATTCTCTCTATTGTGTGTGAGCACTGACCCCACGTAGTCCATCCTGCCCAGTGTCTTGTCTCCAGATGTGGGCAGTCTTTGATGCTTCAGAGGGTGTTTGGCATCAAGGACAAAGTTGAGGGCATATTATCCACATAGAAGTCAACGGGAGACATAGTGCTGACATTATAGTATCTTGTAAATATTCTATTTTAGCGTGTAAACTGGTCCACTATGTTGTGATCAAGTATATCACTTGGGATTTTCTAAAGCATACAAGTGAATTAGAATTCCAACTGCCATAAGTCATCAATAGGATTAGTGCTGGTAATTCCTGCAGGTTCTTAGGAAAAAGTCACACATGCACCAATCACAAGATTCTCATTTAGACTTTTTAGTTGTGTACTTTTTGAGTAACCACTGAAGTGGATAAATATTTGCAGAGTCAGGGACTTAGATAGTAAATACTTAGAACCAAGAGATGGATCGCTTGATTCTTCTGAAAAAAATAGCTAGTAATTACAACTTTCTATAAATAATAACAGTTTACGTATAAGGGGTGGTGAAGTCTCATAACTGACATGACCACAACAGAATAGTCTTGCAATCTTTGTCTTCTTAATAAAGTAAATCCCAGCAGAATAAATGAAAATTGCACCTTTATGTAAGTTTTTAGTTGAAAATAGATAG